TATTACTTGATTTTATTCAGGCATTGTTCGTATATCTTCTCCGTGGTGCAAGGGTAACGCGCTCGTTTAGTGTGTCTGGGGTTCAAATCCAATTCAAGGCAATTATTTTTTATAAAGTTTCTTTGTTAAGGAAATAGCCACGATATGCAAGGATAAAGTGTGGCTGTCATAAAAATGAACATAAATGATTTTTGATGTAACTCTAGTCATGCAAAATGTTTCAAACTCTGGTACCAAGCAAGAAGAATTATAGTACATAAAAAATAACTTATATAGGAAAATAATACAGTTGTATATACAGTGCGATTTATATTGCAAAGATCAGAAAATACCACAGAGCTTGCAGCCTTTTGATTTATCTTGTTTTTCGTATGTATTTCTGGAGATTAAATGGGTGGTTCTCGTAATACTTTAAGATTCATAAGATTATGTATTAAAAGCCTTTGTAAATTGTTTCGGAAATACTGGATATCGTTTTGAAAATTTTAGAGCTACTTAAGTATTTTAAACAGGTGAACGAAAAATTTCACAGTAACAGGAATTAAAATTAATTCCTAAGTATTTCGATTATAGTGATTATACCGTAATCAAAACGTTAAAGGTCTCCTAAGAAATGTTCTTTGGAATTAAAAATTAAGTGTAAGCACTAGAACATAAACCACCAGATTGCTTGCAAAATCTTTAGCGGCAGGATAAATTGTTTACAAAACATGATTTTTCACAGTCAAGATCAAATGAACAGACTGTCATTTTCTTCCTGTTACCGAATGATACGAACAGACTGTCATTTTCTTCCTGTTACCGAAAAAAACACGTAGAGGACATGTCACTGACAGAATGTTCTTAATATTTGAATAGAAAAGAATTTGCTGAAGCCAATTTATGAAAGAGAAATCGAGGATGCTACTTATTAAATTATTTGCCTATAAAAGAGGATTTATTTTACTCGTTTAGATTATTTTAAAAAAAAAAGTCTCAAAAAGCAAAGGTTAGCTGATATTTAGATGTAAACCGCGACATATAAAATTAATTTACCTGTGAAACTGGAGTGAAAATGTGATAGTTTATCCGTTTTTTCTTCAGTGCCTTCAGCACTTTGATCTTATCTGTTTTCACCAAAAAATCATTAAATTCTAAACAAGTTTCTAATAGAATCATAAACATTTATTGTATCATAGTTTGAAGACTTTTCTGTTGAAAATGTGTCAGAGTTAAATCGAATTCATATACATGCACAGTGCGTAACTGGAGTGCAGGTAATAAATACCAACACTCCAGAGCATGCCCATTGATGTATTCATTCTTTTTTTTCTTTTTTTTGGGGGGGGGGGGGTGCTTTTATGGAATAACGATAGAAATACCACATTCAAAAGCTAGTTCATAGGTTTTTTCTGGGTTTCATATTGTTACAATAGGAAACGTGCATTTAATTTTGCCTATGGTATGAATATGATGTAATTGTGTGTGGAACGTGTATGTACGATCCTATCAAGATAGCCTACGAAACGTCACTCATTACATACACAGATGCCCGTTTGTGCCAGAAACAATTTTGCAAAGGGGGCACCTGAGTTCTTTCTCCACCAGTAAAACTGAAGAGTCGCCAAAATGACCTACACAGTTTTGTGTGACGTAACCACCACTCCATCCCAAATACAAACAAACAAATCAAATGTCAGACATGTCATTAACTGTATTTGATTTAAATACGTTATAGATAGCGTTAAATACTTTTATTAGTGTGATTACACTGTGCTCGTTTTAGTATAAATATCACCGATGCATTATGTTTGCCTTAGAATATTGAAATTGAAACTGAAATATCAATGAAAATAATTGTACATGTATATAATATCTTTCCGTTTTGTCTAGAAAATGACCGCTTCGCTGGCGTTTGATTTTTCAAGACAACGAAATTGCTAACTTGATTATCTCTTATACAGTTATTCTTCGTTATACTCGAGTTATATAAACATGATAGGTTAGAGTGTTGAGAAAAAATCAATAGACTTTTTTACCCCCGTTTACTCTGTTGTTCCAAAAATGTCCGTTGCGTATTTTAGTCATACCTGATGAATTGTGGGTAACTTCTGTACATGTCTGGGAAAACCAACTTTCATTTTTGCATCAAAAGCTAATGTGAATATGCATTTTCTAGCATAATTGTTGTTAGAGGGTTGGTTAAAGTGTAAGTTATTGTTATTTTAGTCATAATATTGTGATTTGTGGGGAAATTTGTATACATTTTTTTTGGACACCAAATTACCCGTCAGACCTCAGTGTAGCCCCTTTAATTATGGTTGGATGATAGGCCACAAATAGAATTATATTTTACCATAAACATGTAGGTTGAAAAAAAATAAGATCTGGAAACAAAGCTGTCCCTCAGAAGCATTAATCACAACAAAATTATATGAAAATTGCAGACTCAGTTTGATTGAGTCTGTACATGAGGGATAATGAATAAGTGCAACATCCCTCATGCACCGGCTTGAGCGGTACTCAATTCTACACACTTAATAGTGATGGCATCAATAATCCCGAAGGACCAGAAAAATATAACAATACTGAAAAGTCATGCTTGTTTTGCTTTATATGCAAGATCATTTATCATTCATGTATTAGCCTGGTTGTGGAAGATTAAAATGCTTTTGTTTTTAGGTGAAGGAAAAGTATTTACTTCTTTAAATTGCTAGTCAAACATAAAAATATTGTCTTACAAATGTTTGTCTTTAATTATTACCTTTTAAGAAAAAAATGGTAATATTTTAGATCTTTTTTGGTTTGGACCATCAAATTTATTTCAGCTTAATATTCTATAATTCTAAAGTAATGATATTATAATGTTATATACTAACTGTACATGTGCAGTACTATAATTATTTCTGTTTAAGATAAATATACATACAGGTATGTTTACAAAAATCCACATAAATCTAGTCATAATTAAAAGGTTATAAAAGGTTATAAATACTTTGTGAAAAATAAATAAATTTTTCTGTTTATCATTAATATTTCATTGTTTCAAAGACAAGAGTACATGTATAATAACTTATTAGTTTAATTAAAAATGTTAATCTATAAAAAGCAATTATTATTCTTATAAGATGTAGCAGGAAATAGCAATGAGTATTTGAATAACAGTAAGGAAATAAGTCATTCACAAATGGTTTCACTATTCCCTAACTTGAGTTGCGGAAGAAGTCACTTAACCGAAGTATGAGTTCTGTCATGTATTTTTCAATGAGATAATAAATACTAAATAGGATTACAATGACTTACTATCTGATTAGATTGAAATAGAAAAACTACATGTTTTCTTCAGTTGTTATAAATCTAATAATAAATATGTCTCTGTCACCAATTTTAAGTGTAGTTTTTCTAAATCTGAAGTTTCCTTAAAAACAAATGAGTAAAAAAAAAGATGGACCACCTGTGTTCTTTAGGCCACAAAGTCCTCATACGTGTCATTGACCTTTTTACTGCTCCATTTTTAACAATTATTAGAATTAACTATGAATAAATCTTGAATAAAAAAATGAAAATTGTATGACCTTCTTGTTTTAGTAAATTCTGTTATAAAAAATTTCATAGGACAAACAGATACAAAAAACCAACACAAATTTAAATATCAAAACATGTTTTGCTTTATAAGCTTTGTCAGTTGTAATTTCATGAAACTTCTTTAAATTTAAATGTACAAGAAATGTTTACACCATCCTATTTTAATTTATAAAATTGATACATCATCAATATTATAACTAGTTGATATGGTGAAAAATAGTTTTGGGTGTAATTGTCCACTTGTAGAATTAAAGTGTTTCTGCTGCAAAAGTTATTTTTGAAATGGGGGAGGGGGGTTGTATTAGGGGAGGGGCATTTAATTTATTTAATTATACAATAGCAGCATAACATTTTGGTACATTTTTATTCTGTTTATTTATAATATTCATGTGTGTCAAAAAAGAGGTCTTCTCTCGAAAAGATAATTGATACAGTACAATTTTAATGTTTCTTAAATATAGCTTAGATTTATACACATGTAGGTAGAATATTAGTAATGCTTGTTTTGCTTGATATATTAGATTTTATTGTAGAGTTTTATAGAATAAGAGATAGCTTTTTTAGGTGGAGGAAATTTGTATTCACTTCTTATAAATAATTGCTAGTGAAATATGAAAAATACTAGTAAAAACCAACCTATTTCAGTCAAATTATAGAAATTGTTTAATTGGGAGTGGCTTATTTAGTACATGACTGTATTATGCTTGTACCTGTAGTGTTTTTTTGAGTGAGGTGCTTCAAAAACATGACTTTTGCGAAAAACACAATTCATTTGAGCTTTGAGCTTATTTTTGTGCTAAAGTGGATTGATTGAGCACCTTATATATCAACACCTTAGTGCAGCAATAGGTTTAGTCCTTTGCAATTTAATAGGAGTTATCCTGTTATTGCACTTAGGTGACGACATATGATTTACATAACCATTCGTTTAGATTTAGATAAATCTCAAGAAAAAATCCAAAGTTGTTCTGGAATAAATGTGTTTTACAAATGTTTATCATTCTTACCTTGTAAGAAAAGGAAAAAAATGTTTTAGATCATTTTTGGCTAACTTTGGAGCGTCAAATTTATTACTGCCTATTCCATATTTCAAAAATACTATATACCAAAGCATGGTCTCAAATTGACTTGCAGAAAAAGCTAAATGTATGAATCATAAATAACATTGAATAACTACTTTTTTGCTCTATAAATTTGCTCATATCTTTGTTGTATTTATTTTTATTTTGCATTATTAGATGTTCAGTTTGAATGATAACTCTTTTGTTTGTCAGTTAGCTTTATTTACTAGATGTTTAAGTTTGAATGATAACTCTTTTGTGTGTCAGTTATCCTTTTTGTTAAAATGTTACTATACATACCGGTAATCATAGAAAGATTTTTCTTGTTTGTTTGTTAAGAGTTTTTTCACAGTGTCTTATTTTGGTATATTTCAGTTGCATCAGAACCACTAGATTTGGGCACAGCAGTTGATGAAGTTTTAGAGGAAAGGGGGGAACAGGTAATATATGAGACACGCCACGACAAAACCAACATAATGCGTTTGCGACCAGCATGGATCCAGACCAGCCTGCGCATCCGCACAGTCTGATCAGGATCCATGCTGTTCGCTTACAAGCCGTATTACAAGTAGAGAAACTGATAGCAAACAGCATGGATCCTGATCAGACTGCGGGGATGCGAAGGCTGGTCTGGATCCATGCTGGTAGCAAACGCACTATGTTGGTTTTGTCATGGCGGGGCTCATATGTCTATAATATAATAGTATAATAAAACAGTTATGTTTATGTTTGTTTTATAAACTTAAAGGAAATCCACTGAGGTCCAAAAGCCTTAAAATATAAAATTTGAAAATCTTACAAATATCAAGTGAAGCACTTAAAATGGAAATTTCTGCAAATGATAACAGAGAAATAGACTCGGAATTAATTTGAAATACGATTTTTGTGTGATTCTTAACCCGATTTGAGAAAAAAGAATTGCAATGCTTTATATTTTTTGTGTCATTTTGCATGATAAAATGATTCTTCTGGAAAAACAAAACAAAGAGAATGACATGAAAATTTGCACACAAGTTAAAATTGGTCCTGACCTTCATAAAATGGTACACAAATCTCAGAAAAAATATTTCAGTCCCATAATGTCAGAAAACCTCAGTGGAGTCCCTTTAAAATTTATTTTGACAATTTGTGGGATATATTTTAAGCACAGGTATAAAACTGATATGTCTGTATATACTTGTAATGTGTCTATAAATGGTAAAACATTATATTAAGTTCTGGTTTTTTTATGGTCTGTTACATGAATGGGAAATTTAATTGTCTAAAGTGGATTGGTCTACAGTGGGCACATTTGTCATAAGTATTTCAAAAAATGATAAAAACCATAGAAATGACGTGTATGATTTGGAAATTACTAGGAAATTATTACTAGGGAAAAAAATTCTTCTGTGGTTTGTTGCTATACATGTATATTATACCAATTTTTTTCCTTCTTTGTCTATATAAGTGACAAAATCACGTGGAGTGTTAGAATATACTAAATTACTATCAATATAATTGTTTTTTGTATTACAAACTTCGATTATAGACCAATTTACTTTAAAGAAAGTGTCAAAAAATCTTGTGGGGAATTAGTGGCAATTAAAACCGGACTTCTGCTAGCCATAGATCTGGTTTTATCGCCACTAGCAAAGAACGGTTTAAAGACGTTTTTCAGAGTTTTCATATTGACATATAGGCAAAATTAAAACTGTTCCATAGAATTTCTTTAAACTTGGCTTCCAGATTTGTATCTATTTTAAGGAAAATTTGAAAAATGGATCAAATAAGTGAAAATATTGTCCAGTTTCATCTGTATTATGAATTTTTATACATTTCTTAAACAATTTCTTTGTATTGAGTTTTCTGACTTTAATCTTTCTCTCTATATTTTTACAGTCCTATAAAGAAAAGGTATACACATTGTTCTCTATGTTTCCATCATGCATTACACCATACAGTTTGCTTCTCTCCCCATATACTAATATTCCTGTACATGTAACATATGAGTGAGAATCCCTCAGTTTTTGTCTCAAAATTTAATGTTCAGCTAGTATACAGATCGTATTTATAAGATTTATAACTCTTTTACTGTTTGTAAGAATTCTGCAATCTTATGAGGGGTGTCTTTTTGACTTCAAACCATTTGTCCCTCACTGCTGTGGGTATGAATCCCACCAAGGACTTTGGATTCTTTCATGTAAGGAAGCCGTCCTGCTAGCTTATGGAACATCCTTGGTTCTACATATTAATGCTTGTCTGTGCCTTTAAGTATGCACTTGAGGTCTTCCTCCACCAGTAAAGCTATACAGTCTTCAGGTGACCTTCACAATGTCATTGTGACTTTCAAACACAATCAAAAACTGTGCAAGAAGTTGGATTGTTTTTGTAATAACTGTCTGGACTTTTGTCTCGGAATTCTATGTGTATATCTCCACACACTGCCAGGACTATATGCCATGAAAACTGTGCAAAAAGTTTATAATGTTTTTTTTCTGTGCCTGGGAAGTACTTTCAATTTTGTCTCATAATTTTAAATGTATATCTGATCATATTGCCAGAAGAACTGTTAAGCTTTCAGAATTGTACAAGAAAAATGGTTTGTTAAACTTAAATGTAGGATTTCCATATTAACAAATTTGTCAAAAAGTACAGAGGTGAAATGGGTCACCATTGAAAGTGGTTCATTATATAAAATGCTTTGGGTTGAAATCCCAACAGGGACTTTGCATTCTTTCATGTGAGGTAGCAGTCCTAAGTGGTAGCTTACGAAATGTTCGTGGTTCTACTCAGGTGCCCACTTGCGACTGAAATAATGCAAGGAAGGGCACCTGAGGTCCTCCTCCCAGTAAAGCTAGAACATGGCCATATGACCTAGTGTTGCTTCACCAGTACCTATGGAAGGTTTTACTTAGGTATCTGTTAATGCCTGAAATAATGCACTGAAAGGAACCTAAATTTTTCATGGAAAATTATTAAGGCTGAAGATTTCAAGACATTTGTTCCTCACTTCCTTGTCTTAATCTCCTGACCAGTGGCTTTGAGCTAGGTATTATGTAGCTTTTCTAATGGTTCTAGCCAAAACGCATGCTTGTTCCTAAAATAATTTAATGCAAGCATGGCACCAGGCCACTCCCTCAAACCAGGAAAAAGTTGAAAAGGTGTCATGTGACCTTTAAAGTGTTTATGAGGGTTGACGTGTGACCTTCACAGTGTCAGTGTCATGTAAAACTTCATCAAAAATGAAAAAAAAAATAATAACCGTAAAAGATTTTTCTGCAATGATTGCCTTTAACAATTCAGTTCATTAACTTGATCTTTCTGCCACCACTTGCACTGTATTTTAAAAAAAAATATTGGGACTGGTTTTCTTTGCATTGTCTCGCAAACTTATTTAGTGAACATGGCTTAGACATAAAGTTACCTATTACCAAAATGTGGCGTCTATTAATGTCGACGTTTGATTGGTCCTTAGACGTCATTTCCTTTATGTATCAACTGACAAAGCTAATAAAGCAAAAGATGTATTGATATTTAAAATTGTGTTGGTTTTTATCTATTTGTCCCAGACATAAGCTTACCCTCCCTGTAACAGTCAACTGTGTTTAATGAGATCCCCTTAGCCCTTTTTTCCTCATTTCCTCATTTAATGTTAACAAAAGAAACTTCCTCATGTCTGCTGTTACATTCAGTGTTACATTTGCTGTTATGCTAGCTGTTAAGTCTGCTGTAGACGTTGAAGAACGAACCTTAATATTTCTTTATTTAGATCACACTTTAAAGAAATCAACACAGTAAATGACAATTAGTCACTTTAATTTTCTTTTCTTTTAGTAAAAGCACTGTAGACTTGGAATAAAGAAAAATGCAGCTTTTGGACCAAACCCCAACAATTTACATAGATTTTAAATCACACTATAAAGAAATCAATACAATAATGAAAATTAATTACTTTTCTTACACTTTAAAGAAATCAACACAATAATGAAAATTAATTACTTTTCTTACACTTTAAAGAAATCAACACAATAATGAAAATTAATAACTTTTCTTACACTTTAAAGAAATCAACACTTTAAAGAAATCATCACAATAATGAAAATTAATTACTTTTCTTACACTTTAAAGAAATCAACACAATAATGAAAATTAATTACTTTTCTTACACTTAAAAGAAATCAACACAATAATGAAAATTAATTACTTTTCTTACACTTTAAAGAAATCAACACAATAATGAAAATTAATAACTTTTCTTACACTTTAAAGAAATCAACACAATAATGAAAATTAATTACTTTTCTTACACTTTAAAGAAATCAACACAATAATGAAAATTAATTACTTTTCATACACTTTAAAAAAATCAACACAATAATGAAAATTAATTACTTTTCTTACACTTTAAAAAGATCAACACATTAATGAAAATTAATAACTTTTCTTACACTTTAAAGAAATCAACACAATAATGAAAATTAATAACTTTTCTTACACTTTAAAGAAATCAACACAATAATGAAAATTAATTACTTTTCATACACTTTAAAAAAATCAACACAATAATGAAAATTAATTACTTTTCTTACACTTTAAAAAGATCAACACATTAATGAAAATTAATAACTTTTCTTACACTTTAAAAAGATCAACACATTAAAGACAATTAAGCTGCTTTAATTTCTCCTCTCTTTTTAGTAAAAGTCAATTACTAACTGTATACTTAAAATAAAGAAAAATACACGTTTTGGACAAAAAACTACAATTTCACATGAATTTTAAGCTAATTTTCTTCTGATCTTAAACCTTAACCTATTCACTTCTGTAATGGATTTGCCCTAATTCCAATTTGGAATAGTCCATTTGAATTTGAAGGAATTGCAATATCAAAATACAAATATTGAGTTAATGACAGTTTAGGGCCTGATCAGATTGCGTAGATTTGCAGACTGATTGACTGTGCTCTATGCTCTTGATGTGGTAACAAAGTCTAATCACTGTTTGTAACAGCAGGTTAAAGATCAAGGACAAAAAGGTCAAGAACAAAAGGTCAAGAACATCACCTTTAGAATGGGAATAATTATAATATACAACACGGTAGTTCTGTTTAAAACAATAATTCACACTCTTGACATTCTACTTTACCACAAATCTTGAGAAAAATAAAAGATTTAACCTAGTGACCTCCCTTATGCCATTTGCTCTTTGTTCTACATGTATATTTAGCATTTATGGTCATTTTTCTGTTTGAATGAGATAATTTTTTTGTTGGAGAATGTAGAAAATATTTTTATTTGAGTTTGTTATTATGTATGATAGGTGAATACATGTGCTAACTATTATGTTTATACTTCAATATTCTTAGATAGCAACATAGTATGATATACATGTATATAGTTTTATGTTCTATAAATAGTAACATAATCTAATATGAGTAAGTTTAAGTTGATGCATGAATTAAAGGCGCATTTAGCCTTAGAAATTAATATATTTTTCTTTCCATAGAAAGTTCAAACATTTATTTTATGGTGTTGTGACAATGGATTTAGAACATGTAAGATTCTTAACAGCTGAAAAACAGCACTGAATGTGAAATAGTCTGTGATATTAGAAGCAAAATGTAAACAATCTGGTATTTTGACTTCTATACAAAATACATTAATCACTATATCTTTACTAATTGCCAAAACACAAAAGAAGCAAAAGATGGCTTTGCTAATTATGGCCAATGAATAACTTTTTGAAAAAAAAAAGAAACAGGATAGAAAAAATATCAAGCTTTTGAAAAAAGAAAAAAAAAATGTTTGCATTTTTTTAGCCTTAATGGGCCTTTAATATGAATGTCTATGTTTCAAAACTTAATATGACTATGCTACAATCATTTGTTATAAACATAAATTTTAATGCTGGAGACATGAATGGTAATGTTATTGTTATGAATGGCACTGTTATTGGTATGAATTTCTGTGCAACAAAAAATGGTATTTTGGTAACAAACATGGGTATCTTGGTAACAAACATGAATGGTAATATAACAGACATGAATGATAATATAACAGACATGAATGGTAATATAACAGACATGAATGGTAATATAACAGACATGAATGTTAATATAACAGACATGAATGGTAATATAACAGACATGTATGGTAATATAACAGACATGAATGGTAATATAACAAACATGAATGGTAATATAACAGACATGGATATTAATGTTAAAATCATAATGAAGCTGTTTAATGTTTATATTGAAATATATTGATATGTTATAAAGATAAAAGGTTTATTCGCAAACATGAATGGTAATGGAACAAACTGATTTTTCAATGTTATGAAAGTGAATGATTAATGTTTGTAACTAAAAGACATTTTAATTAATTTGGTTTCTGACATTTTTCTATTATTTCTTGTTTTACTTTGTGAATGTTTTACATTATGTAAGATTATTATATCATATTACGTACATATGATGTTTTTCAGATGATATTGAAAGTTCCGTCAATCGTGGTAAAGATCGAGGGAGGTGTTGGTAACCGAACTGTACCGTTACTTATCACTGAGATGTCATTCCAAGGTGAAGTCAGGGACTGGTCAGGAAAGGTAACTATAGAAAGTTCTTGATTTTTAGCTCGACTATACAAAGTATATGGAGAGCTGTCCTACTCATCCCGGCGTCCGCGTCCGCGTCCAGATTTTAGATTAAAGTTTTGGTGCAGTAAAATATTTTTCACTATAACTTTGTCATTTCTTAAGGTATCAACTTCAAACTTCAAATATATGTTCCTTATCATCAACCACATCTTATGTGACAAGGTTCATAACTCTAGCACCAATATTTTCAGATTTATCTCCCCTTGAACTTAGAATTTTCCTTAAAAATACTATTTTTTACTGTTACTTCTTTATTTCTTAAGGGATCAACCTCATACTTCAAATATATGTACCTTATCATCATCCCCATTTTATGTGACAAGGTTCATAACTCTAGCACCAATATTTTCAGATTTATCTCCCCTTGAACTTAGAATTTTCCTCAAAAAATACTATTTCTTACTCTTTCTTCTTTATTTCTTAAGGGATCAACCTCATACTTCAAATATATTTACGTTATCATCATCCCCATCTTATGTGACAAGGTTCATAACTCTAGCACCAATATTTTCAGATTTATCACCCCATAAACTTAGAATTTTCCATAAAAAATATTATTTTTTACTGCAGTTACTTATTTATTTCTAAAGGGATCAACTTCATACTTCAAATATATTTACGTTATCATCATCCAAATCTTATGTGACAAGGTTCATAACTCTAGCACCAATATTGCAAGAATTATCTCCCCATAAACTTAGATTTTTTTACTAGAAAAATGTTATTTTTTATTATAACTTTTTAGCTCACCTGTCACAAAGTGACAGGGTGAGCTTTTGTGATCGCTTTTCGTCCGGCGTCCGTCCGTCCGTCCGTCCGGCGTCCGGCGTCCGTCCGTAAACTTTTACTTTAAATGACATCTCCTCATAAACCACTTAGCCTATTTCATCCAAACTTCACAGGAATGTTCCTTTGGTGGTCACCTTTAAAAATTGTTCAAAGAATTTAATTCCATGCAGAACTCTGGTTGCCATGGCAACCGAAAGAAAAAACTTTAAATATCTTCTTTTAAAAAACCATAAGAGCTAGAGCTTAGATATTTAGCATGTCAAAATTGGCCCCGCCCCAGGGGGTCATTGATTTTCCCTATATGCATATAGTAAAAACTTAAAAAATCTTCTTTTAAAGAACCCAAAGAGCTAGAGCTAAGATATTTAGCATGAAACATGTTCTAATGGGTGTCTACCAAGTTTGTTCAAATAAAAGCCCTGGGGTCAAAATTGGCCCCGCCCCGGGGGGTCATTGATTTTCCCTATATGCATATAGTAAAAACTTAAAAAATCTTCTTTTAAAGAACTCAAAGAGCTATGGCTAAGATATTTAGCATCAAACATGTTCTAATAGGTGTCTACCAAGTTTGTTCAAATAAAAGCCCTGGGGTCAAAATTGGCCCCGCCCCAGGGGGTCATTGATTTTCCCTATATGCATATAGTAAAAACTTTAAAAAATTTTTTTTAAAGAACCCAAAGAGCTATGGCTAAGATATTTAGCATCAAACATGTTCTAATGGGTGTCTACCAAGTTTGTTCAAATAAAAGCCCTGGGGTCAAAATTGGCCCCGCCCAGGGGGTCATTGATTTTCCCTATATGCATATAGTAAAAACTTAAAAAATCTTCTTTTAAAGAACCAAAAGAGTTAGAGATAAGATATTTAAGCACGAAACATGTTCTAATAAGTGTCTACCAAGTTTGTTCAAATAAAAGCCCTGGGGTCAAATTGGCCCCGCCCCGGGGGGTCATTGATTTTCCCTATATGCATATAGTAAAAACTTAAAAAATCTTCTTTTAAAGAAATCAAAGAGCTATGGCTAAGATATTTAGCATCAAACATGTTCTAATAGGTGTCTACCAAGTTTGTTCAAATAAAAGCCCTGGGGTCAAAATTGGCCCCGCCCCGGGGGTCATTGATTTTCCTTATATGTGTATAGCAAAAACTTAAAAAATCTTCTTTGAAAAAAAACCAAATAGCTAGAGTTAAGATATTCAGCATGAAACATCTTTTAGTGAGTGTCTATAAAGTTTGTTCAAATAAAAGACCTGGGGTCAAAATTGGCCCTGCCCCAGGGGGTCATTGATTTTCTTTATATGTGTATAGCAAAAACTTAAAATCTTCTTTGAAAAAACCCAAATAGCTAGAGTTTAGATATTAAGCATGAAACATCTTCTAGTAAGTGTCTACAAAGTTTGTTCAAATAAAAGCCCTGGGGTCAAAACTGGCCCGGCCCCAGGGGTGTCATTGTTTTTAACTATATGTGTATAGTTAAAATTTAAAAAAATCTTCTTTTAAAAAGCCCAATGAGCTAAAGCTTAGATGTCTAGCATGAAACATCTTCTTATGGGTGTCTACCAAGTTTGTGCAAATAAAAGCCATTGGGTTAAATTGGCCCTGCAACGTTGGGGGGGGGGGGGCTATATACAGGTGAGCGACCTCAGGGCCATCATGGCCCTCTTGTTTATTTTTAAAGGTATCTACCCCTAACTTCAAATACTTATTCCTTATCATCAATTACATTTTATGTGACAATGTTCATAACTCTTAAAGCAATATTTACAGATTTATCTCTCTTTGAACTTAGGATTTTCTTTAAGAAATATAATAATAACTTCTTTACTTTTTAAGGTATCTACTTCAAACTTCAAATATATATTTCTTATCATTACACAAATGTTGTATGGCAGGTCCATAACTCTAGCATGACTATTTCTTGAATTATTCCCCTTGATCTTGGAATTTATGTTAACAAATGTTATTTTTTTAATATAACTTAATACATAATTATACATAATTGATTTTTCATTCATAGTTTTTTCCTCCTTACTGCGTCCAGTATTTTATTAGTGGAGCTTCGCTGTCTCCTGTGACAGCTCTTGTTGTGTTGCCTCTACAGAGTAGTGGCGACATATAGGGATCACTTCTCCGTCGTCTTTCTGTCTGTCTGTCCATCACAAAATTGTCCGGACTACTCCTCATAAACTACTGGTGCAATTTGATCCAAACTTTACAGGAATGATCAGTACCAAGTCTAGTTGTGCATATTGTCAGCATTTTTCGGTTCAATGATTTTTGTCAGAGTTATGGCCCTTTAATAATTTTTATTTTTTAAGTTTGTCCGGACTACTTCTCTTATACCACTAATGCAATTTCAATGAAACTTTACAGGATTGATCTGTAGCTCAAGTCCTTGCGCATATTGCACAGGTTTTCCAGTTGAATGATTTTTGGCCGAGTTATGGCCCTTTGATAAAAAGGTGTTTTTTTCTGTGTGTTGCCAGATACACAAAAGCTTGTCCGGACTACTCCTTATAAACTACTGGTGCAATTTCATCCAAACTTTACAGGAATGATCAGTACCAAGCCTAGTTGTACATATTGTCAGCATTTTCCGGTTCAAAGATTTTTGTCAGAGTTATGGCCCTTTAATAATTTTTATTTTTAAAGTTTGTCCGGACTACTTCTCTTATACCACTAATGTAATTTCAATGAAACTTTACAGGATTGATCTGTAGCTCAAGTCCTTGCGCCTATTGCACAGGTTTTCCGGTTGAATGATTTTTGGCCGAGTTATGGCCCTTTGATAAAAAGGTGTTTTTAGCTCACCTGTCACAAAGTGACAGGGTGAGCTTTTGTGATCGCTTTTCGTCCGGCGTCCGTCCGTCCGTCGTCCGTCCGTAAACTTTTGCTTTAAATGACATTTCCTCATAAACCACTGAGCCAATTTCATCCAAACTTCACAGGAATGTTCCTTTGGTGGTCACCTTTAAAAATTGTTCAAAGAATTTAATTCCATGCAGAACTCTGGTTGCCATGGCAACCGAAAGAAAAATCTTTAAATATCTTCTTTTAAACAACCCTAAGAGCTAGAGCTTAGATATTTGGCATGAAACATCTTCTAGTGAGTGTCTACCAAGTTTGTTCAAATGAAAGCCCTGGGGGTCAAAATTGGCCCCGCCCCGGGGGGTCATTGATTTCCTTATATGCATATAGTAAAAACTTAAAAAAATTTCTTTTAAAGAACCGAAAGAGCTAGAGCTTAGATATTTGGCATGAAACATCTTCTAGTGAATGTCTACCAAGTTTGTTCAAATATTAGCCCTGGGGTCAAAATTGGCCCCGCCCCAGGGGGTCATTGATTTTCCCTATATGCATATAATAAAAACTTAAAAAATCTTCTTTTAAAGAACCCAAAGAGCTAGAGCTAAGATATTAAGCATGAAACATCTTCTAGTGAGTGTCTACCAAGTTTGTTCAAATAAAAGCCCTGGGGTCAAAATTGGCCCCGCCCTGGGGGGTCATTGATTTTCCCTATATGCATATAGTAAAATCTTAAAAAATCTTCTTTTAAAAAACCATAAGAACTAGAGCTTAGATATTTGGCATGAAACGTCTTCTAGTGAATGTCTACCAAGTTTGTTCAAATAAAAGCCCTGGGGTCAAAATTGACCCGGCCCCAGGGGGTCATAGATTTTCCCTATATGCATATAGTAAAAACTTAAAAAATCTTCTTTTAAAGAACCCAAAGAGCTAGAGCTAAGATATTTAGCATGAAACATCTTCTAATGAGTGTCTACCAAGTTTGTTCAAATAAAAGCCCTGGGGTCAAAATTGGCCCCGCCCCAGGGGGTCATTGATTTTCCCTTTATGCATTTTGTAAAAACTTAAAAATCTTCTTTTAAAGAACTCAAAGAGCTAGAGCTATGATATTTAGCATGAAACATGTTCTAATGGGTGTCTACCAAGTATGTTCAAATAAAAGCCGTGGGGTCAAAACTGGCCCCGCCCGGGGGGGTCATTGATTTTCATTATATGTGTATAGCAAAAACTTAAAAATCTTCTTTGAAAAAACCCAAATAGCTAGAGTTTAGATATTAAGCATGAAACATCTTTAAGTAAATATCTACAAAGTTTGTTCAAATAAAAGCCCGGGGGTCAAAACTGGCCCTGCCCCAGGGGTGTCATTGTTTTTAACTATATGTGTATAGTAAAAACTTAAAAAATCTTCTTTTAAAAAACCCAATGAGCTAGAACTTAGATGTTTAGCATGAAACATCTTCTTATGGGTGTCTACCAAGTCTGAAAAAATGAACAAATAAAAGCCCTTGGGTAAAAATTGGCCCAGGGGTGGGGGGGGGGCCTATATACAGGTGAGCGACCTCAGGGCCATCATGGCCCTCTTGTTTCTGTGTGTTGCAAGATACACAGACTACTCCTCATAAACTACTGGTGAAATTTTATCCAAACTTTACAGGAATGATCAGTACCAAGTCTAGTTGTGCGCTGTCCGTCTGTCTGTCCGTCTGTCACAAAACTTGTCCCAACATGAAATTAGCCATCATGAGGCGACACATGTGATCACTGATCGCTCTTGTTACAAATATACCTCCCTTGCCAAAAGTAGGAGCCATTTTTAGGGTGTAAATATTCTTTATGATATAATAGACAAGATACATGAATGCAATCTATATAAACACCAGATTCATGTGAATTGTCAAATTCTTTTATACATATGCAGCAGATTTTTTTATAGCACCAATATGCATAATATTTTTATCAGTTTTTCATGAATATGATAGAATTCTGAGATATCTTGGTTGTCAAAACTTCAAATAAATTTTCTGCATTTCGTCATATGGCAACAAAAATGGTTCAAAGAAGTTCTTGATTTTATATTGTCTTGTTATTTCAGCTATATGTAGAGAGTAGACTTTTGCTGGAGGTGGCTTATTACAACGAGAAAATGTCGGTATGGGAACCACTAGTGGAACCAGTGTTTCATGAGGGTAAATACAGGAGATGGGAACTTGGTCTTGAGGTTAGTTATTTCATAATATGAGCCGTGTCATGACAAAACCAAAATAATGCGTTTGCGACCAGCATGGATCAAGACCAGCTTGCGCATTTGCGCAGTCTGATCAGAATCCATGCTGTTCGCCTTCAAACCTTATTGGAGTAAGAGAAACTGATAGCCAACAGCATGGATCCTGATCTCATCGGCTGATTTCTTTGAAAAATTCAGTCATTGACAATTCATATAAATTTTCTGCATTTCGTCAAAGGGCAAAAAAAATAAAATGAAAAGGTTTCTTATATTATATTGTCTGTTATTCCAGCTGTATGTAGAGAATAGACTTCTGCATTATATATGCAGTTTAGTACATGTACATATTAAAATATCCTTATGATAAATTAAAATAATTGCTTAAAAGGTTAAGATGTCAGTCACTGAGGTTTATTGTAGAAATTTTAGGAAGGAAATTAAATGAAATTTTGAGAATTTGACAGTTCTCTTTTTATTGTGTCGCCTTGAAAAAGGCGACATATAGGGGTAACTTTTGTTGTCGTTGTCGGCGTCCCCTTTAGCTTGTCCGGAGCATAAGTCAGTCATAATAAGTCAGATTGACTTCAAACTTGGTATGCATGCTTCTTATAATGACCCGGAGTGCAGTGCACAAGGGTTTATTGTAGAAATTTTAGGAAGAAAATTAAATGAAATTATGAGAATTTGACAGTTCTCTTTTGATTGTGTCAGCTGATTTCTTTGAAATTTGGTCATCGACAATAATAATAATCACAATTCATATAAAAAATTTTATCCCCCGCCGAAAAGGCGGCGGGGGATATAGAAATAGTTTCTGTCCGTCTGTCCTTCCGTCCGTCTGTCCATCCTTCCGTCCGACATTTTTGTCTGGAGCATATCTCAAAAAGTATTTGAGGTATCAACTTGAAACTTCATAGGTGGATAGCGATGTGCAGTGCACAAGAATGATAACTCTACCTGCATAATTTTTGAGTTATTGCCCTTTGTTATTTTTCAAAATTAATTTTTGTCCAGAGCATAACTCAAAATGCCTTTGAGATATCAACATGAAACTTCATAGGTGCATAGAGCTCACTCAGGACGTGTGCAGTGCATAAGATTGATTACTCTACCTTTCATAATTTTTGAGTTATTGCCCTTTGTTATTTTTCATACTTAATTTTTCACCTGAGTGGAGCATAACTCAAAAGTGTTTGAGGTGTCAACGTGAAATGTCATAGGTGGATAGATCTTATTGAGGAGGAATGCTGTGCCCAAGAATGATAACTCTTCCCTATATAATTTTTTAGTTATTGCCCATTGTTCTTTTTCATACTATTTTGTAGGGAGCTTATCTCAAAAAGTATTTGAGGTATGAACTTGAAACTTCATAGGTGGATAGATTTTACTGAGGAGGGGTGCAGCACACAAGAATGATAACCTATCCTGCATTATTTTTCAGTTATTGCCCTTTGTTATTGTCAGCCATCAGTATTCACATAGGTTTCAAATCTGTAATCACTTCAGCCATCAGTTTTGATTACCAAAAGACCTCTTAAAATTGAATTATTCTGCTCTACTATATATACATTCTTCCAATGAGCAAACACATTCGGCAGGGGATGGCCATGTTGATATTGCTCTTGTTCAAATTTATAGCCCTTGGGTCAAAATTGGCCCCTGCCCCAGGGGGTCATTGATTTTCCTCACATTTATATTGTAAAAACAACAAAAAATCTTCTATTATAATAGCATTGCCTAGTGAACACCTATACAAATTGATTTAATCATTCCCCTTTGATCTAAATTGATCCCTCCTGATGACTTGCTTTAGCATTTAAGAATTGTGACTTTTTCTAGAAATTTAGTTGAGTGATATAGGGCCATTATAGCCCTCTTGTATTGTTTTGTACAATCTACAGTTGACTATTTCATTATTATACCCCCGCACAACAAAGTTGTAAGGGGGGGGGGGGTATACTGGAATCAGCTTGTCCGTCCGTCTGGCTGTCTGTCCGTCCGGCCGTTGGTTTTTTCTTGTCCGCCCAATAACTTAAGATTCCTTTGACCCTTAGTCTTCATATTTGGCATGGAGGTTAGTCATGATGGGTAGATGAACCCTATTGATTTTGAGGTCACTGGTCACTAGGTCAAGGTCACAAGGGCTTTGACTTCAAAAAGCTTGTCCGCCCAATATCTTAAGATTCCTTTGACCTTTAGTCTTCATATTTGGCATGGAGAGTAGTCATCATTATTAAATGACCCCTATTGATTTTGAGGTCACTAGGTCAAGGTCACAGGGGCCTTGATTGAAAAAGAGCTTGTCCGCCCAATATCTTAAGATTCCTTTGACCCTTAGTCTTCATATTTGGCATGGAGGTTAGTCATGATTAGTAGATGACCCCTATTGATTTTGAGGTCACCAGGTCAAAGGTTAAGGTCACAGGGGCCTTTACTTCAAAAAGCTTGTCCGCCCAATAACTTAAGATTCCTTTGACCTACAGTCGTCATATTTGGCATGGAGGTTAGTCATGATTAGTAGATGACCCCTATTGATTTTGAGGTCACCAGGTCAAATGTCAAGGTCACAGAGACTTTGACTTCAAAAACTTTGTCTGCCCAATAACTTTAGATTCCTTTGACCCACAGTCTTCATATTTGGTATGGATGTTGATCATGACTATAAGGTGACCCCTATTGATTTTGAGGTCACTGGGTCAAAGGTCAAGGTCACAGGGACCTTGACAAAAAAAAGCTTTTCTTCTCAATTGCTAAAGAATGTCCTGTCCGCAATGTAGTGATTTTGACATTTTCTCATTTGAAGCATGTAGAATACATAACTTAGCAATGCACTGGCTTAGTAACCTCAGATTAGGCAGGGAAGTTGTCCTTGAGCTCTAAATGGCCTCTGTTGATTCTGACAAAGTGGTATGCGGGGGTATTCACGCCATGATAGTGGCAGTTCTAGTTCTTATTGACCTGAGACAATTGTGGCTGATGACTGCATTAAACAGGGTCATTTAATATACAGGGTACATATTTACGAGGGTTGTCCCAAAATGTCGTAGACTACATTATTTTCTCTTCAACCTGACGTCATAACTTAATAAAATTTACCAGCTATCTTCCTTGGTCATTTGTTAATTTACCTACTGAAAGTCAATAGCCAATATATTAGGTAACGCTTTTTATCAGGGTTTTATATTTAACAGTACAACATACCCGGAGCACGATAAAATATTAGTCAGTGTTGAGAGCATGCTTCTTAAAATAATGCCTTAAACTTCTAGCATAATAATAATTATGGGAAATACATTCATGTGGAATTACGTCATTCATTTTTAGCTCACCTGTCACAAAGTGACAGGGTGAGCTTTTGTGATCGCTTTTCGTCCGGCGTCCGGCCGTCCATCGTCCGTCCGTAAACTTTTGCTTTAAATGACATCTCCTCATAAACCACTGAGCCAATTTCATCCAAACTTCACCGTGTGTTCCTTTAAAAAGTGTTCAAAGAATTTAATTCCATGCAGAACTCTGGTTGCCATGGCAACCGAAAGAAAAATCTTTAAATATCTTCTTTTAAACAACCCTAAGAGCTAGAGCTTAGATATTTGGCATGAAACATCTTCTAATGAGTGTCTACCAAGTTTGTTCAAATAAAAGCCCTGGGGTCAAAATTGGCCCCACCCCAGGGGGTCATTGATTTTCCCTATATGCATATAGTAAAAACTTAAAAAATCTTCTTTTACAGAACCCAAAGAGCTAGAGCTAAGATATTTGGCATGAAACATCTTCTAGTGAGTGTCTACCAAGTTTGTTCAAATAAAAGCCCTTGGGGTCAAAATTGGCCCTGCCCCAGGGGGTCATACATTTTCCCTATATGCATATAGTAAAAACTTAAAAATCTTCTTTTAAAGAACCCAAAGAGCTAGAGCTAAGATATTTGGCATGAAACATCTTCTAGTGAGTTTCTACCAAGTTTGTTCAAATAAAAGCCCTGGGGTCAAAATTGGCCCCGCCCCGGGGGTCATAGATTTTCCCTATATGCAGATAGTAAAAACTTAAAAAATCTTCTTTTAAAGAACTGTAAGAGCTAGAGCTTAGATATGTGGCATGAAACATCTTCTAGTGAATGTCTACCAAGTTTGTTCAAATAAAAGCCCTGGGGTCAAAACTGGCCCCGCCCCAGGGGTCATAGATTTTCCCTATATGCATATAGTAAAAACTTAAAAATCTTCTCTTAAAGAACCCAAAGAGCTTGAGCTAAGATATTTAGCATGAAACATCTTCTAATGAGTGTCTACCAAGTTTGTTCAAATAAAAGCCCTGAGGTCAAAATTGGCCCTGCCCCAGGGGGTCATAGATTTTCCCTATATGCATATAGTAAAAACTTAAAAAATCTTCTTTTAAAGAACCCAAGGAGTTAGAGCTAAGATATTTAGCATGAAACATCTTCTAATGAGTGTCTACCAAGTTTGTTCAAATAAAAGCCCTGGGGTCAAAATTGGCCCCGCCCCAGGGGGTCATTGATTTTCCCTATATGCATATAGTAAAAACTTAAAAAATCTTCTTTCAAAGAACTCAAAGAGCTAGAGCTTAGATATTTAGCATGAAACATGTTCTAATGAGTGTCTACCAAGTATGTTCAAATAAAAGCCCTGGGGTCAAAACTGGCCCCGCCCCGGGGGTCATTGATTTTCCTTATATGTGTATAGCAAAAACTTAAAAATCTTCTTTGAAAAAACCCAAATAGCTAGAGCTTAGATATTAAGCATGAAACATCTTTAAGTAAATATCTACAAAGTTTGTTCAAATAAAAGCACTTGGGTCAAAACTGGCCCTGCCCCAGGGGTGTCATTGTTTTTAACTATATGTGTATAGTAAAAACTTAAAAAATCTTCTTTTAAAAAACCCAATGAGCTAGAACTTAGATGTTTAGCATGAAACATCTTCTTATGGGTGTCTACCAAGTCTGTTCAAAAAATATAGAAAAAATATATTAAAAATAAAAATAAACAAATAAAAGCCCTTGGGTAAAAAATGGCCCGGGGTGGAGGGGGGGCTATATACAGGTGAGCGACCTCATGGCCCTCTTGTTACGTCATATCACCAACAGACGTTTATGTAACGTTAATTAAAAAAGTCTGTAGCATAATACGTAATAGAAGTGCTATTTTGAAAATGCCCAAAATGGCGATGTCATATGAAAATGCGGCGCAGCGCAATGTCATTGAATACTGTGTTAAGTTGAAGAAGCGTCCAGCGTTAATTGACAACATGGAGAACATTATATTTTATCAAGATAATGCACATTGCCATAGATCTCAGGAGACACAGATTGAACTTGATGTGATAGGTTTTCAGAGACTTCTGTACGCCCTAAGTCTTTGCAGTGTTTCCTTATTTGAAATCACAATTACGAGGTCACAGGTTCGAAAACTTCAGCGAACTCCGCTAGGAAACTCAACTCTGCGAGTGTTGAATACATTGAAGCAGGACTGTTTTGAAAATGTTTATGATAAATGGTTTGCCCCACACTGACAGTGCAGCGCGAAACACGGTGAATACTTTGAAAAACATTTTGAAAATTTTTATAACGTCATGACGTTTATGGCGGTGTGCACCGGGTATGTATAGGTAGCATTCTTTAAATTTTGATAACTTGGTCAATTTTGGAGGTATTTTGATTTTATTTCGCATAGACACACATAAAAGGTGTATTGAATTTTCCCTAGCTGGAGGACTCTATTGTATTATAATTGATTGAGTAACAGACTTTGTCTACGATATTTTGGGACAACCCTCGTATAATAAGCACTTGACTATATACAGATGTATACAGGGTACAAACTATAAAATAAGAACAAGAACTACAAGAAACATTTATAAAACAAGACTTTTAATAAATATTGCCAACAATAGAAGCTAAAACTGTTTTGACTACTGTATAAAAAAAAAGCTTTGAAAAAACTTCACCTTATAAACCAAAATTTTAAATACATTTTCACAAGCAATACTGGTCCTCTACACAATATGCTCTTAGCTCTTAAATGTAAAGTCAGATATTCCAAGTCAATGAAGTTGGCATCATTCTTTCAATTTAACATGTTTAATGATATTATAAATAATTATTATCACAAAATAATATGTGATAAAAAGTGTAACGACGGGCCTACATTTTGTCATTTTAGCTGTTTGATATCATTGAAAACTAAAGTCTTCATACATTCTTTTTTTTATCTAAGTTTATTGGCTAGCCAGTAAGCCAGAAAGGAGCTTACATAAATGGATGTTTGCAGCATTGTTCCTTGCCCTTTGTCGAAGAGAAAGCATGTAGCATTTTAATGCTACTTGAGGTCTGTTTTCTTGTTCCATACATTGTCCTAAAATGTTTAGAGCTGTTTCTCTATGTCTGAGGTTTACATCTGTTTCTATGGTTCTGATAAGTTTACCAAGTGCTTGTTGTTGATCTTGATGTCTTTGTAGATGACGATAGATCTTGTATTGTAGGAAATACAAGAAAGGTAGAGAATCAACTACAGCCATGTCCATCCAACAGTCTTTAATTTCATGTCTGTGTATCATGTCATCTTGTGTAGATCTGAACATTTCATATTGTAGTTCATGAGGAACACAGTTGATCTCTCCCTGTATAAATCTAACACAAAATGCTGTAATATGCTTGATACAGTTCTCACTTTGCTCACCACATAATCTCCTGAATTCTTCTGTTACTGCTACTGTCCCCTTATTATGGCAGTTACAGATAGGTAAAACAGGATAGGAGTAATATTGTTGTTCTGTGTGCCTCAGAATTAGTTCAGCTTTCTCCATATCTCCTGTACTGTAAAACACTGAAGCCAGTTTAAGTCTGCTAGATGAGATATCTGAGTTTAAACCAGCTGATAGCCAAACCAATGCTTGAGGTGACACTTGATTATTTTCACCAATGCTGTAAGATGCTAGGATAGATCCATATGTGGTAAAAGAAAAAGGTGCTAGAAGCTTGAAAGCAGCATGATGTAATCTATTACCATTATCAATGAAGGTAATTAGTTTACCTACATATTGTTTTATTGTTCTAAAGTTTTTATCATGTAAATGTTTTAAAATATGCATATGCTGATAACTTATTTCAGTTGCAATGTTTATATATGCCTCTGAAATAACAGTTTCATGTATTTCAAGAGCAGGAAAATAGTTAATTGCACGTTGTACCCTGTTCAGTTTAACTTGAAGTCTATGACCAACATCATCAATATCAATACTAAGTAACCGTTGTCTATCATTCTGTATAAAATCACAAATATTTTTTGAAAGTTCATGTTTTGTCTCAGCTGTAAATTGCCCTGCCATCAAATTATTTTCCGGTATAATGAAATGTGAACAACAGTCATTTTGTACACAACTGTGTAATTCCAATAAGCAGTATGTTAAACATGTACATAAATTGTTATCTTTCCATATTCCCGACTCTGTGTTTTCTATACAATGTAATAGAACTGTTTTACACATGAAACTTGATATGTTGATTTCATCTTGAGGATTAAGGAAGGACTTAAGAATCATTTTCAATAGTACATAGCACCTTATTTGTGTTATATTTAGATTAATCATAATACATCTTTCTGTCAATGATGTAGATATTCTCCATTCCAGTTCAGGATATTCACTGACCTTACTTCCAGTTGGAACAACAAAAAACCCAGTACTGGCTGCATATCTTCTCATCTCTTGTGTTGGCCATCTGCCAATACCCTGTCTATCTAACCAACCTGATGCTGATTGAGGCCATGATTTACAATGTAAAGCAATTACTCTGTCTTGATCACAAATTTTAGAATCTCCTTGTGTAGCAATAGCTGGTCCATGCCGCTGCTGAGCACCTTGAAGAAAATCATTTATAATTGTGTTTTTCTGCAATATTCTTCCTCTTCTGTCAAGAATACAATATTCATCAGGAATGACAGTGAGAGGAAGAGGTTCATCACGTCTGAGTGGTTGTAAGAAACAATACCCAGGAGTAGTGTTCTCATCCTGTATCATGAGGAAGTTACTCTTGCCATGTTCCCACTCTGACCAGTCTTGTATTATATTGAAATTATTATAAGATTCTAGTACATCAATGTCTGATTCAAGTCCTAGAGTAGTTGTACCTTCACTCTGACTCCCTAGAGAATAGCAAGTTAAGTTTCTATCAGTTAGCCTTTTCGTGATATTCCACATAGTCTCTATCAGCATGAAATGTCTTCTCCTTCCCATCACAGTTCTTTCATTGACACCAATGTCATGTAAAACCTCTGATAACATCAATGATAAGTTTTCTCTGTAGTCCGGTTCTTGAAACATTCTGTAATATATTAGTAAAAGAGAAAATTGTTATAGTCAGCAGTCAAATTGATTTTATCACATACTTCTACTTGTTACTTATTTGTCCTTTATGTCCTAGAACAGAACAGAACAGGAGAGCCAATCTGGACATTATGAAACATAAGATAAATAATTTGGTTTAGATATCAATTCATCAAGAATATTGTATATTTGTCTCTATTTGGTTGTGGTATTTTTTCTTCTCTATTATGTAAATTTTAATGTTTGTTCTCAGAATTTCGATATAAGAGAGACGCTAAAATTAAACACTCATTCGAATATTCATGTAACACTTTCTTACATTAATCATCCCATATTGATGAGAAATTTTGTATATAAAATAAAGTTTTAAACTTATTTTGAATTTTGGATTTAAATTTCTTGAAAATAATCAAGAGAAAATATTTCTTTTCATATGACCTGATACCTTATATAACACCACAATTTATTGTAAAAATACATTATAATGTAAAACATAATTATTTATATTTCTGTTTAATTAAAATACATAATTTATTTAAACAAATATTTTCTTTTTTTGAGAAAATTAAAAGCACTGTCTAAAATATTGCTTGAACTACTTTCTTACATAATTTGTTCTGTATAAATGAAAAATTGTGTATTAAGAAATAAGGTTTTAAACTTACTTTGAATGTTGTATGTCGAAATAATATAGAAAAATTAACAATAATCTTGAAAATTAGTATCAACATATATATAATTTTATACACGTTAACTTCCTTGAAAACTTTTTGAAACGGAAATATATTAAAATTGTAGGATTATATTTACTGGGAAATGAGAACTTGAGTAACTTGAATAAGATTTTTATAACATTTCCTTGTATTTTGTAATCATCAGGGACAATAAATATAATTAGACTTGTTTCGGAAAAATTTCCTGAATAATATGGTCTCTCCACAAGTTGAAAGGTTGTTTTTTTAGTCTAGAACAAGTTTCCATTCAAGTGTATATGAGCCACGTCATGACAAAACCAACATAATGGGTTTGCGACCAGCATGGATCCAGACCAGCCTGCGCATCCGCCCAGTCTGATCAGGATCCATGCTGTTCGCTATCAGTTTCTCTATTTGTAATAGAGTTTGTTAGCGAACAGCATGGATCCTGATCAGACTGCGCGGATGCGCAGGCTGGTCTGGATCCATGCTGGTAGCAAACCCATTATGTTGGTTTTGTCGTGACACGGCTCATATTAATGTTCCCTATCTGCAGTGTTGATGTTACTGATGCATGAATACTGAAATATTTTTAGCTCACCTGACCGCGGAGTGGTGCGTCATACAGCTTCAACATTTGGGTTTTTAACACTCTAGCAGTCACAGTTTTGATTGGATTCATAATCAAATTTTGTCAAAATGTTTGTCTCAATGAAATACAGATTAGAATATGGGTCATCTCGTGCCAAAAACTAGGCCACAGGAGCTAAAAATAGAAAAATCTTGTTTACACACTACTGGCTGCAGTTTTGATCCAAATATCCTAGAAATTGATGAGGAAGATTGTTTTGATGATTTCTAGGTCAAGAGCAAATATGGGTCATCTTTGGTCAAAAACTAGGTCACAGTTTATAGAAGGAGTGTGATATATGATATATCACACTGATGAAATACAGTATATTATTCATCATTGTACACAAAAAAAGGGATATTAGATTTTATTTGTTCACACTAATATCTGTAAAGATTTTGCAGCGTGAAAAAAGAAATATGTAATAAACAGTAAGCTTTGTTGGTCAGTGTTTTCTGGAGAGTGATAATATAGATTGTATCATAGTTTGGGGACCTTTCTGTTAAAAATGTGACAGAGTTAAATCGTATACATATACATTCACAGTGCGTTAACTGGAGTGCAGGTATTAGTTACCCCTTCTCCAGAGCATCTCCATTGATTGGTTCATTTTGTCCAGGTTTTAATATTGTGATGACAGAGAGAGGGAAAGCGACAGAAATATCATATTCAGATGTTCGTTCATTGCTTACTTTTTTGTGGGGTTTCATATTGTGGCATCAGGGAACGTGTTTTATTTCGCATAATCAATGTGCTTAGAGCAACATTAAACCACTCTAAAATTTTCTTTCTCACCTCATTTCATATAATATCCCTTAAAATTTTCTTTCTCACCTTATTTCATATAATATCCCTATAATTTAAGATGTTTTTGACTTCTTACGAAATTAAGTGTCATCCCTAAAAGCATTCAAGCAGATAATAACAACATTTAAGATCTAGGTAGGTGTTGACTTCAAATCAGTGTTCTCAATAGTGGAGTCAAATAAAGAACAAAACAAAGATTTGGGACTGAATCTTGTGGTCTTTAACCTTTTCCCTTATAGAAGCGAGAATCGCCGTCTTTTACCATTCCCTGATAGAAGCGAGAATCGACGGCTTTATCGATTACCGCATGTAAGCGAGAATCGCCGACATGCATGATCTCAATGGAAGCGACTTTCGCCGACTTCAATATTTACCTGTCCAAAAATCAACAATTTTCCCGGAAAATAGACCTGTAAATTGTGTTATCATAAAGATCAACATTTTATGAGGGGATTCCGTGCATAAAATTATGGTGTTACTATTTAAAGTTTTTGTATAATTAGCAACCAACCAGGTGAGGGGTTTTCCTTACGTCACGCAGTTAATGAGTGCGCGGGTCAATGAAATAAATATAGAACGTATCGTAAGACAGGAACAAAAGTGTCTAAAAATAGCAACTAATGAATAAATAGTATTTATATGATCACGGGTCGTTCACGTGCCAGGCATGGTATAATGGATTTGATGTTTGTTTTGGTTTATGATAGCTGACATGTGTATATACACGGATTAATTAACGTCCTGACTAGGGGTATCTCTCTGGCCCCTGCAATAAAATATTTCCGGTAGCAGCGGCGATTTTTTTAAGAAAATGACCGACAAAGAAATGTTTATTAGTTTAAATTCTTTCATGTGCGCTATTGTTTTCATAACAGACACAGCATGGGGCCGTGTATTATACGACATGATAAAATCATATCCCATATATCATCTTTGATGTCGGCAACATGAAAATGCCGAAAAGGCCGTGGAACTCGAGGATGTCTTTCCTTTATCATCATTTGATCAAATTAGATCTATAAATGATAAAATTTAATTAAATTCATAATTCATGAAGAAAATATATGACCATGACTGCAGAAATTCTGAAATATTTCATTCAACAGTTATATACATGTATTACAGAAATGACAGTTACTATTATGAAATAAATTATAAAAAAAACTTATAAAATAAATAAAAAAAAACAAAGTGAGATTTCTTTTTACTGGTATAAAAAAAGGTAAAAATAGAACTTGACTGTTATTTATTTCACTAAAAATGAATGCTGCATAAACCAAAAAAATTAATAATAAATTAGCCATATTTCCCTAATCCCTGTAAAAGAGAGAGAAAAATTATACATCATTTTATTGTTTATAACTACTGTAATTATACTGTTATAAAGCCCATAAATATAAAATTTATACCACTGGAAAGATAATTCAAATCTCTACAAATCTTACATTGACATATATATTGTCAAACTTGTAATTAAACCATTTCACATTAGTTAAAACACATAAGTAGCCTAATCTATCTGAAACAATGGAGAAAAAAACACCATCAAGTATATAGTTTATTACTTTATAACTCATGTAGACATATTTGTATAAACCCAACAAATATGATATTTATACCATTGGAAAGGTATTTCAATTCTCTACAAACTTTTTATTGATACAAAAATTGTCAAAACACAACTTAATACTTAATTTTCCAGTTAAAGTATATAGGTATCTAATTTGACCAATTTTACCTATAATATATCATACCCTTTATGGAGATAGTGTGTGACTCCTTATCAGTAGGATATTGATTATTGATTATCTATCTGGCTACTGTATTATGGGGTGTAAAGCAGTAAATTAAGGGGGCTGTATCAGGGAAAAGGTTAAAGGTGATAAACAAGGTGGTCTTAATTCTGGATCATGTTACCAATGACATAAGAACACAAAATGGCGTACTTTTAAAAAATGGTCTTAATAGTGGGGCAGACTGAATTCCAAGGTGGTCTTAATTAAGGATTTTACTAAAAATACTAACATGCCCATTCAGCTAGTGTGTTGAGTATGTGAATATTGTATAGTTTTATAATTATGCAACATAGATTTGAGTGTAACTGGTAATTTTGACATCATGAAAATACAAAAATGTATTTTAATTGATACAGTTCTATAAGTGTTCATTACAGTCAAACCATGTCTTAGAAGGCCACCATATTAAATTATTTTAAACTCATTCAAAGCTTTTTTAGCTCACCTGTCACAAAGTGACAGGGTGAGCTTTTGTGATCGCTTTTCATCGGGCGTCCATCCGGCATCCGTCCGTCCGTAAACTTTAACTTTAAATGACATCTCCTCATAAACCACTAAGCCAATTTCATCCAAACTTCACAGGAATGTTCCTTTGGTGGTCACCTTTAAAATTGTTCAAAGAATTTAATTCCATGCAGAACTCTGGTTGCCATGGCAACGGCAACAGAAAGAAAAAACTTTAAATATCTTCTTTTAAAAAACCCTGAGAGCTAAAGCTTAGATATTTGGCATGAAGCATCTTCTAGTGAGTGTCTACCAAGTTTGTTCAAATAAAAGCCCTGGGGTCAAAATTGGCCGCGCCCCAGGGGGTCATGGATTTTCCCTATATACATATTGTAAAAACTTAAAAAATCTTCTTTTAAAGAACTCAAAGAGCTAGAGCTAAGATATTTAGCATGAAACATGTTCTAATGGGTGTATACCAAGTTTGTTCAAATAAATGCCCTGGGGGTCAAAATTGGCCCCGCCCCGGGGGTCATTGGTTTTTTTCTTATATGTGTATATATAGCAAAAACTTCAAAAATCTTCCATGAAAAAACCCAAATAGCTAGAGTTAAGATATTAAGCATAAGACATTTTCTAGTGAGTGTCTATCAAGTTTGTTCAAATAAAAGCCCTGGGGTCAAAATTGGCCCCGCCCCGGGGGTTGTTGATTTTCCTTCCATAAAGTGTTTCCAACAACACAATCAAACTAAAATGAGCCGCGTCATGACAAAACCAACATAGTGCGTTTGCGACCGGCATGGTATAAAATATATTCGCGCAGTCTGATCAGGATCCATGCTGTTTGCTATCAGTTTCTCTACTTGTAATAAAGTTGGAAAAGCAAAACAGTAGGGGATCCTGTTTCAAAACTGCGTGGAGGGGCAGGTTTGGTCTGGATCCATGCGGGGGGAAAAACCCCCATTATTTTTTGGTTTTTGTTGTGATTGGTTAAAATAATTTGTATCATCTTAAACTTATGGTAAATGAAGAATAATGATATCGGGGGCTGGTATCGAGGACAAAAGAAGAGACGGAGACGGTAAAAATTTGCCGCCCCCTAGGATACGAAAACGTGAAATTTTACAGAGGGCACTCCCAACTAAACTATGAAAAAAGGGCCTGTCGGGAAAACCCCTTACAAAATCTGGGGAAAGGAATTTAAAAATTGTTGAAAGATTTAAATGGAATTTCTGAATACAAAAATACAAAAGTAACATTAAATATATTTGATAAATTGCCTAGAATATAACATTCGGATAATTATAAATTAAAATAGCTTTAAAATAAATTGGTCAAAGAGGTTTGAGAAAAGTTTTTACAAAATATTAGACAAACTGACAAACTTTCTAGCAATTTTCAACAAATTAATCATGATAAATAAATTTAAATAATTGGATAAATTAATACTGATTATGTTTTACCTTTGCGAACTAATCAGAGATATTCATACTCTTTGTGTTGAAAGATAATGCATATTTGCTTGCAAAAATGCAAAAGAGCCAATGAAAATCAAGTAAAGGCACTGTAAAATGTAATGGTTAAGATGATGTATTTTTCAGGCATTCAGAGATGCGTATTTACTCTCACGCATTTGTAAGGTTGTTTTTACAAATAATGCAAAAGAGCCAATTAAAATCAAGCAGAGACACTATATCCGTAGAATATAAGGGTTGAAGTATTGTATTTTTCAGGCATTTGGGGATGCGTATGCTTTGGTAGAGCCTACATTGAAAGCTGGAGAAGTTATGACACCGTACGTTATAAAGAACGTCACTGGAGAGGACCTAATGCTCAAGCTTGACAATGCCTTCGAGGTAAAACTGGAAATTTATCAATTCAGTAGTTGCTTGTCCCATTATATTTAAGTCCCCAAGTTCTATACTTGTAGCAAAAGCTTCACACATTTTATTTCCAGTTTTCTTCATTCAAACAATGCTTTCTTAAGTTTTGTCAAACTGTTTTCTACATAGGTTTAAAAAATGTTTTCTTCACATTGTTTTATATTGTTTTATACAGAGCCCTCCAAATGCAGCAAACGGTAAAATAAAGCTGTCAGTTGGAGATACTTTACCTCTGAAGAACAAAGAAGGTCCGAAATTACGTAGACAAGCTTCAGTTATCAAGGCGTCCACTGCTTCTGATGAAAAGAAAATGATCTTTCAGGTATACTGCTGCTTTTTCTTGATTATCTACTTGGTTTAAACATATTTATTTAAGCTCGATTGCGAAACAAGTTCTTGCAACTTATATTAATCACTTTAAAGTCCGCTTCCTGGAACCAACCAGTACTGGTGTCATATGAAGAAACATGGTCGTGACCCGAGTAGGGCTCGAACCCATGATCTCTGGGTTGAGAGTCAGCCTACTTAAGCACTAGGCCACCACTCCCCTTATTTGATTATCTACTGTTTACATCGATGCTAAAAAAAAATATGTAAGACAAGTCGTGTGCTTAAATGATGTCATTCCCACACAACTTTTATGAATGAATTGTGTTCATAGAATGACATCATTGTGCCATTACAAATAAAGTTGTAAATTCATACGCTACTATAAATAAAAGTGCTTAATGAAAATATCAGTTTTCATAATTTCTTGGGGTAATATGATTAAAATTTAATATGCAAGAAAAAGAATTATAGAGCACCGCCTGTTATAACAGACTGGAATATGTAGCACTCAAGTGACTGTTTAGCCTTGTTACTGCTGTTAATAGTTACCCTCGCGCTATATATTTTCTGTACTGCAGTCGGTGTAAGATCCTTATAATACATTCTTATATATGTTGTTTGTATGTATATGATGTATATTGATAGAGTATCTATGGAGTTATTGCCAATAGATATTTCATATTTTATATCAAAATCTTTGTTAGATAGCTTACATAAAATAAAACTAAAGTGAAAAAGTGAGAAAGTTTTTAAGTTACCAAAATAAATAGAGGATATTCAAGTTTTTTTCTATAAATACATGATTTATTTTCATCAAGTGGTATGAAAATAAATATTTCATGAGTGGCGGTAGCCACGAGTGAAATATGGTAATTTTCATGCCACAAGATGAAAATAAATCATGTATTTATAGAAAAAACTTGAATTTTCTGTTTATTATATAAAATTTTCTCTTTTTTTGCGATAAAATTTGAAAGACTTTCACTTAAATTTTGTGTACTGGCAGAATTTAAAAGAAATTAGTCCGTCAAGACACCAGTGAAAATACGGAAAATATGTTTCACTGCAGTGAAAAATAAATTTTTACATTGAAAATACGGAAAATGAAAATACGCATTTTATTTCATCAATATTTCTCAATACTTCATTTATAAGCATATAATAAAACTATTATATTGGAAATCTACATTTAAAAACAAAGATTTTGATATAAAATATGAAATATCTATTTCAGAAAATAATGATTGTGATGTAAACTTTCACAAACAATTATAATGTAAAATTATGGATCATAATAGTTATAAACTTATAGCATTCAACACAATCAAACTAAAATAAATTCTTTATACACAAACTGTTATGTTGTTTACAGGTTTTCAATGCAACAAGGGAGGTAACCATCAAGCGTGCAGAAAAACGTCTTTTCCATGTTGAAACTAAGACAGGTGATCAATGGGCTATAGTTTGTGATACACAGACATCCCTGGGACAGAGAACTGTCACTTTTAGATCTTCTGTACAGGTGAGCTGATGTAAAAACTGTTGAAACACTTTCTGTTGTTGATACTTGCTCAAAATATTTTAAGGTCCAGTTTAAAGTCATACCAACATTTTTAGGGACGTTTGGTGACTTTTGGGTTTTCCTGGTAGAGGAACACCTCAGCTGCCCATCCCTGCATTAGTTCAGGCACGAATGAGCATATGAGTTAAAGCTCTGATCGTGCCCCTCTGTTTATTATTTTCAAACACATGCAGACACCTGAGTAGAACCACCTACCTAACATAATCTGGCTGGATAACTTCCTCACATAAAGAGAAACAGTGGTCACTGCAGGCAAGAGTGTTACTCGGGCAAATTTTATCATCCTGTCTTGATCAGATATCAAATACGATTCTAAGTACAAATTAATTATACAATATTAACTATTAAACTATTACCATGCTAAATTTGTTGAATTGTGTTGACGGGTCGTATGACCAAACAAAACAAACGAATAAATTTTATGAACAAACTTGCTCTTTGCTATTAACATCAGTCAGTTACTAATATGAAGGACTTTTTATATCAAAAGTCTGAAATTCAGCAGGTTAGTTTTTACCTTGTGGCATAAATCATCATTAAAGTAACATTGTCTTTATCCAATGTAATTATGTAACGTGTACACATTGAGGACAAAATTCATGTACATTTTGCCTTAATTGTGTTTTAATGAAATAATCAACTTTGCACAAACATGTGCAATAGGTGTGTGCTGTGTTCCTTTTTAAGGAAAATTTGTTTTGTTCTTTAATATATTGTATGATTATTTTATTCTCCATTAGGTGATGAACCATCTGACAGTTCCAGTTGATGTTTTCTTCAAGGATGCGTCCGGAAACTTGCCGATATCTTCAGTCAGTCCAGAAGAACTTTTCAGTCTACTGTTACACACAATATACACCCAATCTGCCCAGTTCATGTTTAAACCAATCAAAGATGGGTAGGAATCTATATTTGTAACCAAATTTTAAGTGAACCTTATTTTTAGTCTCTCATTTGCATATTTGCTACTTTATTTTCATGATTAATGATTTTTGTTGCAAATTCAAGATGGTAGGACATGTCAGGGAAAGGGAACACTCATGTTAACATGTTGAAAAATGTTTTTTGTGGCGACAAATTATAACTGTGATGTCACACTTTACTCTTTGTGTAATCTATATTTGTACAATGTAACACTATGGTTATAGCTACTCAATTTATGTGCATATACAGTGTATTTACATCATTTAAGTGAATATACATGTACATGTATAGCTATATATACATGTAAAGCCTCTCTTTGGACTGAATCTATTTATAGCCACTCAGGTGAGAATATGTAAATAGTCCTTTATTGGCAGGAATATAAAGAACGATTGGCATGAATATAAAGAATGAAGTTTGTTTCAACAGATATATCTGGTTTTGATAGGACAAATTTTTTAATATAATGCAGTATAATCATTGTAAATTCTTATTTTTCCTACGTAGATGTGATGAGTTAAGTGACCCAATAAGTTGGAAGGGGGCAGAAAATATGGGACTGAAACAGTTGATGTGTAAGGCTGGCCCAGGACATGAGCCTTTCTACTTCAAGGTAGGTCTTCTTATGTAGTGTAATATTACTTGAGTTTTGTGTGTTATGTGTGAATACATGTACGTCTTGGTATGTAAATGTTTAATTTCTTAGGAATTTGTCTTATGTAAGCCCACTGCTTAACTTATATTCATGCATTTTTGTAAAACCTCATGTGATTTATTTTATTACATAACCTTATTATATAGCCTTACATGATGTTATAGGGGAATAATCTGTAATGTCACATGGCAACATTACTTTTCTGCCTGCTGACAATTTACATGCACATACTGGGCTCCAAGTCTTAGTTTAAAGTTATTATGTAGGAGCATTGTCTAACTCGAAAACTGATTTGTTTTGTATAATAGAATTAAGTATCACATCCCACTTTTGGCAATATAGCAAAATCTTTACCATTGACAAGATTATGTCAACCTTGGCTATTGCATATCGCTCTTTTGCCTTCACTGGGATGTAATAGTTATACAGTAGGCTTGTCATATTTGCAACAATATAAACACTTGTGACTGTATGCCTATAAAACAGCAACCAAGAGTTATTGCTTTGTATTAGTATTAAAAGTTTGGAAAATTATTAAATTTTTATCACTATCTAAATTGAGACTGTAATTATAAATGTATTATTTGTTTTTGTAGGTCAGGGCCGATATTGAGACAGTATATTATAAATGTATTATTTGTTTTTGTAGGTCAGGGCAGATATTGAGACAGTAATTATAAATGTATTATTTGTTTTTGTAGGTCAGGGCCGATATTGAGACAGTATATTATAAATGTATTATTTGTTTTTTGTAGGTCAGGGCCGATATTGAGTCAGTAATTATAAATGTATTATTTGTTTTTGTAGGTACAGGGCAGATATTGAGACTGTAATTATAAATGTATTATTTGTTTTTTGTAGGTCAGGGCCGATATTGAGACAGTATATTATAAATGTATTATTTGTTTTTGTAGGTCAGGGCCGATATTGAGACTGTAATTATAAATGTATTATTTGTTTTTGTAGGTCAGGGCAGATATTGAGACAGTAATTATAAATGTATTATTTGTTTTTGTAGGTCAGGGCTGATATTGAGACTGTAATTATAAATGTATTATTTGTTTTTGTAGGTCAGGGGCCGATATTGAGACAGTAATTGTAAATGTATTATATGTTTTTGTAGGTCAGGGCCGATATTGAGACTGTAATCATAAATGTATTATTTGTTTTTTGTAGGTCAGGGCCGATATTGAGACAGTAATTATAAATGTATTATTTGTTTTTGTAGGTCAGGGCCGATATTGAGACTGTAATTATAAATGTATTATATGTTTTTGTAGGTCAGGGCCGATATTGAGACAGTAATTATAAATGTATTATTTGTTTTTGTAGGTCAGGGCCGATATTGAGACAGTAATTGTAAATGTATTATTTGTTTTTGTAGGTCAGGGCCGATATTGAGACTGTAATCATAAATGTATTATTTGTTTTTGTAGGTCAGGGCCGATATTGAGACAGTAATTATAAATGTATTATTTGTTTTTGTAGGTCAGGGCCGATATTGAGACTGTAATTATAAATGTATTATATGTTTTTGTAGGTCAGGGCCGATATTGAGACAGTATATTATAAATGTATTATATGTTTTTGTAGGTCAGGGCCGATATTGAGACTGTAATTATAAATGTATTATTTTGTTTTTGTAGGTCAGGGCCGATATTGAGACTGTAATTATAAATGTATTATTTGTTTTTGTAGGTCAGGGCCGATATTGAGACAGTAATTATAAATGAATTATTTGTTTTTGTAGGTCAGGGCCGATATTGAGACTGTAATTATAAATGTATTATTTGTTTTGTAGGTCAGGGCTGATATTGAGACAGTACAGTCGAGACTGCCTTAGCGACCCCCTGATTTAAACGACTCCCTGTCTTATCCGACCTTGTTTCAGTACTCCCAACGTATTTTCCTATATAAATGGTCTGAATTAAACGACTCCCTGTCATATGTGACAAGCGACCCTAATTGTCAGGTCCCAATGCAATGTTTGGTCTGATTTAAACGACTTTCACACCTTTTAATTGTCCGTTAAATCAGATAAATAATACCTATCATAACACCCAGAGGGCCAAAATAATTAAGTCCAATTATAATCCAGTAGCAAACAAAGTCTACACACCTCTATCTTAATTACACAGTTGACATGTATAAATGCAGGTATCAAGTGACGTAGCGTCTGTTTATGGGAAGCATGACGCAATCGATGTGTGTGTAATGTACATTATGGCCTGAGTAAACTGGTTAAGACTTGTGTTAGATTTTTTTTTTAATTATAGAGTGCCCACGGAAGATTTTTTAGGCAGCATATTTTTATGCCCCCACAATGTGGGAGCATATAGCGTTGCACTTGTCCGTTCGTCCGTCCGTCAGTCCGTCCGTCCGTACGTCCCGATATCTTGTGAACGCAACTCCTCTTAAACCGCATGGCAGATTTTGCTTAAACTTACAGGGATGAACAACCTTAATGTGTAGATGGTAGTAAAGGAAGGAATTTTCGCTGCGACCAAATTTAACAGAATTATGGCCCTTTGTTGATTTTTTCACTAGATACTATGTAGAAATTTTGTGAACGCAACTCCTCTAAAACCGCATGGCAGATTTTGCTTAAACTTACAGGGATGAACAACCTTAATGTGTAGATGGTAGTAAAGGAAGGAATTTTTTGCTGCGACAAACTTTAACAGAATTATGGCCCTTTGTTGATTTTTAACTATATACTATGTAGAAATTTTGTGAACGCAACTCCTCTTAAACCGGATGGCAGATTTTGCTTAAACTTACAGGGATGAACAACCTTAAAGTGAAGATGGGAGTAAAGGAAGGAATTTTCGCTGCGACCAAATTTTATAGAATTATGGCCCTTTGTTGATTTTTTCACTATATACTATGTAGAAATTTTGTGAATGCAACTCCTCTTAAACAGGATGGCAGATTTTGCTTAAACTTCCAGGGATGAACAACCTTAATGTGTAGATGGCGCAGTAAAGGAAGGAATTTTTGCTGGCAACAAAATTTAACAGAATTATGGCCCTTTGTTGATTTTTTCATTATATACTATGTAGAAATTTTGTGAACGCAACTCCTCTTAAACCAGTTGGCAGATTTTGCTTAAACTTCCAGGGATTAACAACCTTAATGTGTAGATGGTAGTAAAGGTAGGAATTTTTGCTGCGACCAAATTTAACAGAATTATGGCCCTTTGTTGATTTTTAGTTTTCAACTTGTGGCACATGTAGTCCAAAAAATATTTGACCTAGAGTCATAAGATTGACAGAACAGTGGCGTGTGGGGGCATCCGTGTCCTATGGACACATTTCTAGTTTTTATTTACCTTTCTATGACTGCATAATTATTACGGAAAAAATATTGATACTAAACCAGAAAAAGCTTTGGATATGTTGAAAGATCCTGTAACACAATTTTTCATGGTTTTATTTCATAAATATGATGCTCAAATTAAGATTTGTCAATATTGTAAGTTCAAATAAGCATTATTTATAAAGATATCACCCAATTTAACTTTAATATAAATAAAGGCCATTAAAGGGAGGTAAATTAGAACTTTTATTTTCTATAAATTGTCTAAGTTAAATTTTCAATAAGTAATCAATTTGCATGTAATTTATTGATTAAATATAATGTGCACAAATATTTTCAGTACACATTTTACATATTCTTGATGTTTGAAAGTTGTTTTTTTGCATAATTATCTCCATATATATATAGTTTGCAAGTGTGGTATACACCTGTAACAATATCAGTCACAAAACATAAAGGATCTTTAAGTCACAATGGTATATACACAGCTAGATGATACTTAAATTTAATTTTCTTTGAGACTGTATTTAGAGACTCCCTGTCATATGTGACCTTTTTCTGAAGATCCCTTGGAAAGTCACATATGACAGTCTCGACTGTAATTATAAATGTATTATTTGTTTTTGTAGGTCAGGGCCGATATTGAGACAGTAATTGTAAATGTATTATTTGTTTTGTAGGTCAGGGCCGATATTGAGACAGTATATTATGAGACTGGTGATACTCCCTCTGCCAAGTCAACGACCTTTCACCTTTACCCCACTGTGATATTGCATAATCTTTTACCATACAAGGTCAAGGTCTTGCTCCAGGTAAGCATCATGTTGACCTTTAATCTTACGTCAAGTAGGTCATAGGTCATTTTATTTAAGATAAAAAATAGAATTAATTTAGTATTGCATGATTTATTGGCATACAAGGTCAAGGTCCTGCTCCAGGTAAGCATCATGTTGACCTTTAATTTTATGTCAAATAGGTCATAGGTCATTTCATTTAAAAAAGGGAAAGAAGGTGTTTAATATTGCATGATTTACTGCCATATAAGGTCAAGGTCATGCAATGTGAATGGTCATCAAAAATTTATCTTGCATGATTAGGACACAAACCTTCCACTTGACCTTGATAACTTTTTTTCATTTGATCACATGGTACAGATAAACTTAAATGACCTTCACCTATCTGTCTTTTGAATGGGGTCAGAGGTCAAAGAACTTTTTTTCTCTTACTCTGTTAAAATCTTGCAAGTTTTTCCTTAACAGGTCATTCTTTACGTAAAACCTTCAACTTTTCTTCATATAACTTTATATTTTCTGTAGAGAATATGATGTTTATGTAACCTTTCAATGTTTTTTAGGGTACAGAGGATAACTTTGAGTTAGACAGGGGCAGTAATATACCACTAGATCATGCCTGTGTTGGGAAAACAAACATTGAAATTACAGTAAGTATACCCATATCCCTGAATTTGTATAATGAACTTGTCCTGTTTTGAATTTAGAAAAGTCCATTGTCATTTTTAGGGAGGTAAGAATGTAAAATACTTATAATTGACCACCCAGCAATATAGAACCTTGTTAGGCCTAATTGCTGGTGCATATTTCATGATTTTAATGTCTTTTTGCTATTTTAACAGATTTCAGGGCCAGTGCTTTTTACACTAGTAGGTGGAGTAGCCCTGACATTAAATTTTGAGGAAAATAAAATGGTATTTTTTCTAAAAAGGAAGAAAAAACTGAGGAAAAGCACATGATTTTAAAGACTTTTCAGGAAGCAAAGCTATAGACCTACCTATAGACAGTCACTGCTATAGAATAAAGCCCTGTATTTGTTACATAGAATATTTCCATTTGACATCACATGAATGTTATTTCCAGTACTCAAAATATTTTGTCCGGTGTTCACTGCTTGAAACAGACCAGTATAATGTATCCTGCATGTCATTTTACAGATACCAGAGTACCAGGGTATGGAATGGATTGGAAGACGTTTACCTGGAAGTGGATATACCTGAATTATCAGTGTGGACGTTTGAAAGGCTTATGACAAAAGCAACCAAGAAAATTAACAAATGGTAAAATTTATGAACGCAGCTTTTGTTTCTTATTTTCATCCACGTAAAACTTGATTACTCTCAATGAAATCAAAGGAATAATGGCAAGGAGGCCTAGTTTAAAGCTCTGATCAGGGACATTTGCTGTTTTACTTGAGTAAAAATTTTTTACATTTCTTTATTGCATCACTTCATCCAGATGTTTATTGTGTTCCTGAGACAAAAATCTGTGGCTTCATAATATGGACTGCCAGAAAGACTACCAAGAAATAGAAATGATTCAATTCTAGTTGGTTACTTACTAGAAATTTGAGTTTAGTCTGTGAGTGTACTGTGTGTATAAAACTTAACCCATTACTTCATGAGCATTTTGTGAAAAATGGCTGTTTTCATTGAAAAATCTCCCGTTACAAGTTCAAATTGCTATAATACTATAAAACCTGCTTCAACACTTATCAAACTTGGTACAAATGTTGACTGGACCATTGCCCTTGCAACAACATGCTCAGGCTTAACTTTTCTGTTACCTATGGCAACGAGGGGACATCTCAAAATTGCCAAAAAATCACTATTTTTGCGTTGATTTTTTCCATCAAAATTGATTTCAAAAAGTGCTGCAACTTCTCAATGGATTGAGATGGTCAAATGCTTTTAGCGTTGGTTACACGTTACCTTATGATCAATCTGGGGTCATTTATAGCCTCTCACAAGTCCAAAATTTTCTTGGCGATGAGGGGGACTCCCCCCTTCAAACCCCCCAAACAGAAGGGGGCACATTTTCTGGCACCCTGATGTATCTTTGGTTGGGGGGACCGCGCCAAAAACATGGGTCACTTTTTTTTTAACAACAATTTCTCAAACAAAAACCAAGTGTTGGGGCCTACAATAAGGCATTTTTTACCATTTGAGACAACAACAAAAGGGGGGGGGGGGTTTTGAAAAAAGGCGTGTATATAACGTAATTGGTTAAGACTTTAGGACTTCCTAGAGAGAGCAATTATAGGATTCTAGTAGCTTATAGACGAGAGTTTGTTATGTATGAAATTATAGACTATCAAAAGCGTTTGCTTTACTTTCAATATGGGGAGCATATAATTTGTAATCAAGGGGTCATTGGTTTAACCCTTAGGCATGGCGTAATTCCTCCATGACAATTGATTTTACACATTGAGTCTAGTAGTCATTTGTTTCTCACTGCTTATTCACAAATTATGTGGAAGTAGTAGTCAGTCACTTGCCAAGAAATTGGTAATTACTGGTTATTTATCAAGGATAGACGGTTCAGTGCAATTAACAGTGAGATATGACCAAAAATGTGTTAAAATTTTGCATAAAAACCAGAAACATTACAAACTGCCTTAGATATTATGAGGAAATATTTAGAAATGTTTTGTACTAATGTTTTTTTCTGTAAATGTTTCAGGATTTAGGTCTACATTATAAACAGGGACCTGGTGTTCTAGATGTGTCAGTCTACAGTCCCTACTGGATGATCAATAAAACTGAAAAATTACTTCAATACAAGGTAAGCTATTGTCACCTTGAGTGCAGTAACAGGTTATCTCCTATTGAATTATATAAGGAGTTAATCCATTACTGCACTAAGGTGACAAAATTTATTATTTGAATCATTAAAACTGTTCAGGGTACATGATATTGGTAAAGTGGATAAGCAATATATCACCTAAGTCACTAAACCCTTTTCATCCACACTGTGTTCAGTCCAACTGTTGAGCAGGGCTCTTGTAACTGGGTGATTTGAGCCACTAAGTTGCCTCAAGTTTTCTGAACTTTGCTGAGTTTGAACATCAAAGCGAAATCGACATCACAGCACTTTTTTACTTACCACATGTACAGATCTTAAAGTATCACACAGCTCTTGTCAATAAATTTAATCCTCGACTCAAGACGTCACTTGAACTAAATTTGTGATACGCAGTTGCTCAAGGATATTTAAAGAATTATTTTATACTTTATTTCCGGTTATTTCATTTTCGATTTCAGACTATGATGACTTTATTTCAGGTTATTCTATTTCAAAATGTGGGACTATTTACTATTTCAGGCTGGTGACGATGACCCAGTAGATCATCCATCGGACCTCAAGGATATTGTCATGTTTTCATTCAAGAAGAATTCTTTGTTCTCTAAGAAAAAGGTAACATTAGTTTACACCAATTTCATTATAGAGCATGAATAGTTTATTTATAGATAAAAATGATATATATGAGAATATTATTGCATATCTGATTGACTTATGATAGTAGTTATAATAAAAAAGGGTCATTCGTAGGGGTATATTAGCCTATTACTTGTATGTTGCTCTAAGACTAATGGATTGTACTAAAACCTGGTGCAATCCTGGCATAGCTAAATTCACTCGAGTAGTATAATATAGCATGATGAAAGGGAGATATAACAATGATTTGGTGGTACAATTATTATATACAATGTACATAATTATGTTGCAATATTTGTATTTCATGCACAAATTCATTAAGACAGAAGAAAACCTGCATAATTTACAATTTGTGATCGGGGAAAGCAGTAATTTACATAATGGCATTATATATAGTTTAGTCAAATTTATAGTATGTATAAAATAAGAAGGTTACAGTAAGAGTAGATTGGGCAATCACTTGTATTTGGCTTCCATGTTTTTTACTAGACTACTCAATAGATCACACTTTGAACTTCTAAAGTGGTGTCTTTGGCAAAGTGTTGCATTTTATTGAGAATCTATTATGTTAACTTTTGGTATTTGTGCAGCAGCATCACAATTTAGGGTGGCTGGTTAAAATGCTGGTAAAAGGGGCTTTTTTACCTCTAAGCATTCTGCAATGTGTGCATCTGTTTAAACAATTGTTTACTTTAATTTGTGGTTCTTGGTGAATAAAAAAAAAAAAGAATAAAAATTGATGGCTGAATATTTATTTATCTGTTATCGCCTAGGAGAAAAAAATGTACAGACATTTTACTCAAAAGAGTCATTTGTTCTGGACGAGGACATTTTTAAAACAATTTTTTTTTACCTTTTTAATGTATCTAAATAATGATTTGTTGGACAATAAACCATGGTTCCATGGCCATTACATATTTGTTGAAAAATGAACTGTGAATTACTTTCAAACAGATGTACGCCTGTTTTTGTGCAGAGACAACATTGGTATTGTTGAGAGATTTGACTGCTGTGATTCTGTTTTAGTGCTAACCTTATCACTCTTTTTAGCTCGACTATTCGATAAGAATAAGTAGAGCTATTGTAGTCACCCGAGCGTCGGCATCGGCGTCTGCGTCGGCATCGGCGTAACCACTTATGTTAAAGTTTTTGTAATAGTTCAAATATTTTTAAAGTCCATTGACATATGGCTTTGAAACTTTGCACACTTGTTCACCATCATGACCCCAACCAGTAAACAGGAGGAGGTAACTCTATCAAGCATTTTGACAGAATTATGCCCCTTTTTCGACTTAGAATTTACGTTAAAGTTTTTGTAATACCTAAAATATTTTCAAAATTCATTGACATATGGCTTTGAAACTTTGCACACTTGTTCACCATCATGACCCCAACCTGTAGAAAGGAGGAGGTAACTCTATCAAGCATTTTGACAGAATTATGCCCCTTTTTCAACTTAGAATTTACGTTAAAGTTTTTGTAATAGTTCAAATATTTTTAAAGTCCATTGACATATGGCTTTGAAACTTTGCACACTTGTTCACCATCATAACCCCAATCTGTAGACAGGAGGAGGTAACTTTATCAAGCATTTCTTTTACTATCAAGCACTAAGAATAGTCGAGCGTTGCTGTCCTACCGACAGCTCTTGTTTTAATAACATTCACATCTAGCTTCTCAATCTCTCTAAATTAATAAATGAATTATGCCATATTTGTGAGGCATTTTCTTGCAATAAATGTTTCAAATTTAAAAAAAAACAAAAACACAACAGCACCTTAAAATTGTATCTGAATGTAGACAATATATAAACCTTAAGTAATTTCATTTGAACATTCTCACCCCTTTGGCAATTGTCAAACAAACTAACCTGTCTAATAGAAAATTAAAATTTTAATGATAAAATGCAGACCGCGTCTTTTGATCAACCCGACCTGTAGATGAGTAAATACCATACAAGGAAGTTATGTTATTGTAAGTTACAGGGGCTTATTTATAGGTCACTTTAAAAAAAACAAGAGTGATTTCTTTTATAAATGTGTGATTTTGCCATAACATGTTGTTGCTAACTTGTCACAAAAAACATGTAGGTATATGGTTTCTGAAAACTAATGCAACATATACTGTTAATTTACTCAAGATATGGTGTTTATATTTTTTTTATGTAAAAGAGTGATTATTACAGACAACAAATAAGAAATACTTATTCATAAGGCAGTTTGTGTTATAACTCATTGTCTTTTTGTATATTTGTGATTTGCTAGTTTTCAAGGCTATATCTATATATTTATTGGGTAAAAAAACAACAAATTGAAAGTAGTAAGCATATTAAAATAGGGCCCCTATATTAAATACACACTTGTTTATATAAACGTGGTGCAGTGTAATTACCATCAAGAAAAAGTCCACAAAAGTCAGTATGGATTGAAGAAATAAAAACTTCTTGTCATTGAACTTTGCATAAGAGATCATAGACTGTAAGTTGAGTAAGTGTGCTATTTTGTGGATGAGCATTATCTCCCCTCTAGAACCAAGATTCTGGTCCATATCAAAAATATCTCGGAATCTAGCTTTGGCACATTAATATATTTTGACTACATGGGATCTTTGCATGTTAGCTACAAACAATGGTGTCTTAGACTTAATAGCCCCTTTTTTGCTAATCGCCTTTTATTGGATAGGGGTACATCATTTTTATTGCCCTTTTTTGTGCTGATCGCCTTTTAGGATGCGGGCAACATTGTTTTTTTTTTGTACGAGCCTTTTAACATCAGCATATTTTTTTCATTACAAATATCTCAAAATCGCTTTATGAATATTTGTTAAATCTGATTGGTGGCCTGCATTTTATGTCCATTTTATGGGTGAGTTGATTGGTAGCAAGCCTTTTATGGTCATTTTAGGGGTGAGTAGGCCAGAAGTTTAAATCTGCCACTCTCGTATAATGAGTAAATTTGGCAGGCTTACAGGTGCATTGTACAAAATTATATTCAATAGATTCAGTGGTAAGGGGTTGGTACTTTTAGGTGCCTGAATGTGCAGTAAGATCAGATTCAAAATGACAGTAGGTTTACAAAAGCAGTGACGCCAATGTCCTTTAACTGTTATAGATTTAAGAACTCTAACAATGTTTTTCATTTATGTACATGTGATATTCAAGAGTCAGGCAGTGTCGGTTACATGTTTTAAATTACAAAACATTTTTTTTTCTTTATCAGATTAAGAAATACTTATATTTAATTAAGGATTTTCATTGTCATAACATTACCTGCACCAATATTTATTTCCCCATTTGAATCACAGATTATTTATTGACATGCATTAATACCTTGCTAATAGATGAAATAAACAAGGCACCACTAAAGCACATTGTGGCAAGCACTTTTGATGCACAGTGGCATATCATTGTGAAAAACTCAATGGTATTATATCATTGTGGTAAACATTCAATTTTATATAACAGCAGTGTGGTAAATACTGTTTAAATACAATGGTGTTAAATTATTGTAGTAAATACTGTTTAAACACAATGATGTAACAGCATTGTGGTTATTTACTGTTTAAACACAATGGTGTAACAGCATTGTGGTTAATACTGTTTAAACACAATATTGTAACAGCATTGTGGTAAATACTGTTTAACCGCAATATTGTAACAGCATTGTGGTTATATACTGTTTAAACGCAATATTGTAACAGCATTGTGGTTATATACTGTTTAACCGCAATATTGTAACAGCATTGTGGTTATATACTGTTTAAACACAATATTGTAACAGCATTGTGGTTATATACTGTTTAAACGCAATATTGTAACAGCATTGTGGTTATATACTGTTTAAACGCAATATTGTAACAGCATTGTGGTTATATACTGTTTAAACGCAATATTGTAACAGCATTGTGGTTATATACTGTTTAAACGCAATATTGTAACAGCATTGTGGTTATATACTGTTTAAACGCAATATTGTAACAGCATTGTGGTTATATACTATTTAAACGCAATATTGTAACAGCATTGTGGTTATATACTGTTTAAACACAATATTGTAACAGCATTGTGGTTATTTACTGTTTAAACACAATATTGTAACAGCATTGTGGTAAATACTGTTTAAACACAATAATGAAAAACAACAGTGTAACAACATTGTGGTAAACACAGCTGAAACACAATGGTGTGTTACAATCATTGTGGTAAACACTTCTAAAAGACAGTGGTGTAACAATCATTGTGGTAAACACAATGATGTAACAACATTGTGGTAAACACAGCTGAAACCCAATGGTGTGTTACAATCATTGTGGTTAACACTTCTTAAAGACAGTGGTGTAACAATCATTGTGGTAAACACAATGATGTAACAATATTGTGGTAAACACTGCTTAAACACAATGGTGTTTCAATCATTGTGGTAAACACAACTATAACTCAATGGTATGACATCATTGTGTTAAATATGGTTTAAACACAATTGTGTAACAACATTGTGGTAAACACTGCTTAAACACAATGATGTTGCAATCATTGTGGTTAACACTAATATAACTCAATGGTATAAAAATCATTGTGGTAAGCACAGTTAAAAGCACAATGGTATAACATCATTGTATAGCACAGTGGTATAATTATTATTCACACACAACTTTAAGGAGGACACCTTGGATAGAAAGAAGGACACATTGGATAGAAAGAAAGACACACTAGAGAGAAAGAAAGATGCAAAGAAACAAAAAGTGAAGGAAATGAAACAAAGTGGAAAAGTATGTTAAGAATGGCACCGCATCATTTATTTATATTTTAATTTTGCTCTTATTCTTTGCTTTTGCAAAATGTTTAGTATGCTTTTTTTCAGATTTATTTTTTTTGTTCAAAACAGTTCTTTGGATGTATTGGTGTGTTTTTTGGGGTTTTTTTTTGCAATTATTGCCTCCTGATGCAGTGGTTATAAAATTTGCTTGTCACCTATATATATTATTTATCAGTCCACCTGCTTTCGTTGCTATGAAGAGAAGTAAGGGCTACAGACTGTGGATTTTGTGAATTCAAGTCCTAGGTGTTGTCATATGTATTTTATAAGACAACTTCTTTGATGTTACTTTTACCAATAATCTTCTGCTGATTTTTAGCTTGTCTGTTTCGAAGAAAATGTTGAGCAATTATGATTGCTGTGTGTGGTCGTTGTTTTCATAGCCTTCGTCGTCATGCAAAAACTTTAATGTTGGCCATTACTCAAATTTTATTTGTATTAATATGAAACTTAGAATTCTGCTTATCATGACAAGAGGCAGTTGGAAGACAATTGACATAATTATGAAAGCTATATTTTTAGAGTTATGCCCCTTATTTACTTAGAATTTTGGTGGAAAGTGGTTATTTTAACAGACGAGTGTTAACACCACATGCAGTGCTCTTGTTGTTGAAAAAACTGATAATAACATATAGTTCCATAGTTTTGCAATATTTATCTCCCTTGCCAAAAGTTGCAGCCATTTTGGGGGTCAATATTATAATATATTGATATGTATTAATACCATTGACAAAGTAAGAGAAAATCAATAGAAATAGCTCATTTAGGTGAATTGTCAAATTCCTTCATACATATACAGCAAAATATTATTATAGCACCAATATGTAACAGATTTTTATCAGTTTTCATGAAAATGATGAGAATTATGAGAGATCTTTACCTATTGGAAATGACCCTCAAAATGGCGGCCAGGGGAGGTAATAATTGCTATGTGAAAAGAATCTGTAGGAAAATATGTAAATGCCGGTACAGAATGCAGGAAAACTATTTATTATATACTTAAAAATGAAATATTGAGAAATATTGATGAAATAAAATGCGTATTTTCATTTTCCGTATTTTCACTGTAAAAATTTATTTTTCACTGCAGTGAAACATATTTTCCGTATTTTCACTGGTGTCTTGCCGGACTACTTTCTTTTAAATTCTGCCAGTACACAAAATTTAAGGGAAAGTCTTTCAAATTTTAGTGTCAAAAAAGAGAAAAATGTATATAATAAACAGAAAATTCAAGTTTTTTCTATAAATACATGATTTATTTTCATCTTGTGGCATGAAAAGTACCATATTTCACTCGTGGCTACCGCCACTCATGAAATATTTATTTTCATTCCACTCGATGAAAATAAATCATGTATTTATAGACAAAACTTGAATATCCTCTATATAGTGATATAAAAGCCTTGCACTGTCTCTTGAGGGTTGCTGTTATTATTATTATGCTTTTGTTAATGTTAATTTGTATTTAGTGATTTTAGACTTTCGTTATTGCATGGCTTGTTATTAAGCATTATATTTAGTTGATATTTATATTTATCACATAAACTACAGTACAGGAGCGTATTATAATGCCATTTATCACATACCTTTACTGATTTTGCGACTCTGTAAAAATGGATATTGCACAGCCATGCATATATTTTGACATGACGTCATTTGCGTTATATTCAAACATAGAATAAATTTTAAGGGTGCTAAAGTTAGCATTACACTATTGGGGCATCAATGAAAAATGGCTCATTTAAAAGGTGAAGCATTCTGATTTTGAATATGTGATAAATAGAATATTATTTTCGTGTAGATTCAATAATCAAGTTAATTGAACTCTTTGAATAAATCAATAATATCCTCACTAGAGGCTTTGCATAGTATGATTTTATTCAACCTGTTCAATAAATTTAGTATTGAACCTTCACTGATTCATATCCTCTATATATTGTAAATCTAATACTATATTACTAACATTGCAACACCTTTGTATAGACAAAGTGCACATGAAATTGATCAAAGACATTTTTGATACATGCATCAGCATCAAAATTGTTATCGTTTATATATGGACTATT